AATGTGGATCAATAATGGCTAACCAAGATTTGGGTTTTTTCAAAAAAAAAAAAGTCTGTTCTGCGAACAGATTTAGGTTTTCACCTCCTTGGCTGTCCACAAAGTACATTTCAAAATCAGGAAAAAATTATTAGAAACGAAACAGAGTATGCCATCCTAACGGACATAATAGTGGCATCCGTGGACCTGGATTCAGTATTCTCAGTTGTACAGATAACAGCATAGGAGTGAGCATCAGATGCAATCAAAGCAATCACACTACAATTGCAGTTTGAGGTAGTGCAAGTATGAGGGCCAGTGTTGTGAGTGAAAGGACAGTGCAGCAGCTGCATTTTAATGGGGCTTGCAGTTGTTTTGCAGAAAGTGATGTATGACAGTCACATAACCCACTGCCAAAGACTAGTCAGACACCAGCAGCAACCTGGGAAGGTGTTAGGCACTGAGTCTCCTACTCAACAGAAGCCTGACAGAGGTAGAAATGTGATTTTAGCTGAAACCAAGCAATGGTCATAATTAGCTTCAGATGCCTCCCTTACAGCTATTAAACTCAGAAGTCCAGTCCTAAGAATGGGTTTGGCAGGAAAAAGAGGCAGGAGAGCAAGAGGAAGGACTTTGAGGCTTTGGGTTTCAAGGTCATATGTATATGTGCACCATCATCTATCCATCCACTGTTTAGCTGCATTTTCTGGGAATTTCTAAGATTAATGTTATCACGAAAGCCATTCAGACAAGTCGATTGCTTAAAAACATGCATTTTGTCAGATGAACATCTTGCATATACTTGTTGGATGCTTGTATTGCATATAATTATTGTGGGGTAAACCATACAGTAAATACTGTAATGTCCATATTCTGTGGGACATTTCCCTAAACTACAAGGGAAGATGTTAATCATGTACATCTTTTGTGTCATTTAGTCATGGTGCATTTCTAATACTCCCTCCCAAGGACATATGCTGAATTTACTCTTTCATAGAGTAAGATTTATTCCTATACATCTAGGTCTGGAAGATGAGCATGGTAAAGAAAGTCCAGCACACTTTTCCCATAAACCCTGCGAGAAGGAAACTGTATATGGGGAACAAGGAACATATCACGTTGTTTGCCCTTTTTCAGAACTGTAAGGAAGAACAAATAAACCAGAGCAGGGAAGAGGCTGAGCTCTGTTTGCATCCAGCTAGCAGACACCAAAACCCACAGACAAAAAGTCCACCTGAACGAGTTTAGAAAAGTCAGCAGCATTCCCCCTGTCACAGAAGCGGTAGTCACCATTACAGTTTTCAGCTGCTTGGGGAGGCTGGGGAGAGAAAGGTGGACTACCTCATTCTAAAGGAATTGAGTTTGCCTTCTCATAAAAGGCTTTTAGGAGAAATACAGGATGCAAACCATTCTACTGCATTGTGCTTGGTGACTATGAAGCACAGAGCCTAGAGGAAATGGTCACCTGGCAGGTGATCTGATGGCCAGGATCTCCTACAAAAAATGTCCTTTACATTCAGGGCATTCTTACAGATCTACAGACATAAAGACTGGAATAATCTAGGCTTTGAGGAGAGGTAAGTGATAAAACCATTAAACCTGTAAAAGACAAGATGGAAAACTCTCTAGATTTTTACTGAATTTTTTCTGATTTACTCCATCATTTTTAGTGATTATAGTTTGGGGCCCATTAAGTAGAACTGCACTTTCATTTAGTGAGGTGTTTAATATTTAATGTTGGCTTTCCAATGTTATATACATTGTAATAGCGTAAAGTTAAAACTAATTGAATCTAGTATAATTTGAGTCTGGTAAAAATGCTAGAAGGATCATACTGGAACTATAATAACAGTAGCAATAGCATTTCTGGAAAACTGAAATACAGTGTTGTGCCTAAGAAGAGTATTTCCAATAGCTCATGCTCAAAAAACTAAGCAGATAGGGAAAAAAACCAGCTGAAATAATTTCAGGTAGAAAATGAACCAATAAATATTCCATAAACTATCTCCAGCTTTTTTTCAGAGATTATGATGGCAATTAGGACAGTATATACTGTTTCTTTGATATTGTCTATGGCTGCCAAGGCTATATGCTCAGTTGGGTTATTCAATTCTTAAAATGCATTATGATCAAATCACGCTTTCTAAAGTGGTTTTCAGTTAGAACTACATCAAATGAAAGCCATATTGCTGGCTTAAATGTAATTCAGTTCATCCTTGTTGTGTCAGGATGTTTTATATATATAAAGGGAAGAAAATGAAAAGATTAAAAAAAAATTAGTCATCATGAGGTTTTTTAATATCATCAGCACTAACATAAAGCCAGCTGATAAATTGCATACTATTCAGAAGAAAGAAATAGAATAAAATTAGTATTGCATTACACTAGATTAATCATAGCCCTGGCTTACTGTCATTCTATGGAAAATAAAAGCTTGACTATTTCAGATTTTAAAGTTTCTTCTCAGCCTTTAAGGTTATTTGCCTTAAGAGGCAAATAATAAGCCCATGTACTGAAGGAAGAACACAAGATTTTGGGCTGGTGGCATTGGTAAATTTTTATCATTGTTTCTAACCAACAGCAAAGGAGCATTGATGACTGGGATCCAGATGGTTAGCAGTAACACTTCATAATAGTAACCTAATGAAGCTTTTTAGTGCTGGTGACAGGTAAATGCTTGAAAGGTTTATGGCAGGGAAAAAGCTTCAGTAAACAACTTGAAAATCTGCCTTTCTTCTTACTTGCATAACTATTGCTTTTTATAATGGCATAATGGAACAGCAAAGCATAGGTGAAGAAAAGGCTAGAAAAGAGGAACTCTCTCTGGAGTTAATAGGATGTACAGTGGGATTTTTTTTTACTTCTTGTAAGATGAATAGCTACTTAACAACCATTAGGCCTCTCTCAGATTTAAGGGGAGAATTTAAAAATCTTTTTCATGTAGTTAAGTCTGTCCAGGGATCAGGAGCTAAAAATAGAGACGACAAATATTTTTCTCTATGCAACTAAAGAATAATAGTTTCAAGATATTTTAACTGAAAGAAGAAAGTTCTGCGATCTCTCACATGAGTTTTGTCCCTAATCCTGGTTGTGGTGGGTTGACCTTGGCTGGGTGCCAGGTGCCACCAAGCCCCTCTATCAGTCCCCCTCCTCGGAAGGATGGGGGCAGGGAGAAAATGAGATAGAAAAAAAAACCAAAAACAACTCGTGGGTCAAGATAAAGGCAGTTTAATAAAAGCAAAAGCAAAAGCAAAGGCCATGCACAGAAGCAAAAGGAAAACAAAAGATTTAGTCTCTGCTTCCCATCAGCAGGTGATGTCCAGCCACTTCCCGGGAAGCAGGGCTTTAGTATGTGTAGTGGTTGCTCCGGGAAACAAATAGTAAATAATGAATGCCCCCCACTTTCTCCTCCTTTATCTTAGCTTTTATTGCTGAGCAGACATCATGTGGTATGGAATATCCCTTTGGTCAGTTTGGGTCAGCTGTCCTGGCTATGTCCCCTCCCAGGATCTTGACTACCCCCACAGCCTCCTGGAGGGGGGGAAATGGAGAGACAGCCTTGATGCTGTGGGAGCGCTGCTCAGCAATAGCCAAAACACTGGTGTGTTATCAACACCTTTCTAGATACCAATACAAAGCACAGCACTATGAGGGCTGCTATGGGGAAAGTTAACTCCAGCCTAGCCGGGCCCAACACACCTGTGAAGAGTACAACCAGAAATCTAGTGCTTCCTTTGCAACAAGGGAGAAATCTGATGGCTGGCTGCTTCATAGGCCAGGGGGCCAGTCCTGTAGGGACTCTGATGTTTCTGATAAAACCTTTTTCATTGGAAAAATAGGTTTTCAATAAATGGAAATTTTAACAGAAATCATCTTTTTTTTTTTTTCTGGGGAGGAAAAAGGTGGACTTAAAACTCACCAAAGGAGGGGGAAATTGGTTGAAAAGAATATCTGGAAATTTTTCAGGTTTTGATCAGAGGTGCACTGGGTTTTGTCAGCTGTTTTCTGTTTCAATTATAGAAAATGATACAACCAAAAAAAAAAAGGCAAAGAAGAAATTGACTGAAAGATATTTTTCCTGTCACATGTAAAAAAAAACCTTGAGAATTTCACTTAAAAACAGAAAGCATCTATTTCTGTTAACGTTGTCTACTGTCAGTTTTCCAAACAGATGTGATTGGGAAAGTGTTGTCAGGTTTTCCATGGGTAGGTGGAGCTTGTATGTCTCATGTTTTGCTGCAGCACCACTGAATGCCTAGTTGCAGCTGATAGCATTAATGGGTCACATAGTGGGACTCTCATATTTTTAGATGTAACCTGCCTCCAGCCTCTGCTGGAAAAATGACCCTCAAAAGTGTTCACTGACACTGGATTTTTGCTGTTTCACACTGTGGCTGGTAAAACAACAAAATAAATCAAAGGATATGCAATTAAAGCCTATGGCATGTACACAACAACAATAATAAAATAGACAATGTCAGACACTGAGGAAAGATCCATCAATCTGGTAACTATAAGCATTGTTGAAAGCACACGGTCAATGTAAATGATCTGGAATAAGGTATATAAACAGTGCAACGGGACACACATCCTATACACAATTTATTTAGATTGAACACTATTATGCAAATAAAGCATTTCATTGCAAAGCAGCTAAGATACATTCTTCTATTTTCTGCTGCTAAAATAGGAATTATTCAGCAGTTGTTCACATAGCATTGTTGAGGGGAAGTATACTGCAGCCTCAACAGCTCCTGTTTGATTCACTGTGGTTATTTTTGGCCATGCAGTCTAACTTAGGACTGTTGCACAGTCCTGATTGTCCACTGTTTCAGGTACACTACTTTTCTTTTAGCCGTTTAAGGTGGGAAAGTCTGATAGATATCAATTTTTCATCAATTTGTGAAGAAGTCAAGTCATAGTCCTCTTCCCTCTTTTCCCTAGTTGTCTTGGCTGCCTTTTGAGGTTCTGCTGGAGGAAATTCTATGCCTGCATACTAAAATGAACATTTCATTTCTCAGTTTCTACAGATCAAGTGATGAGATGTCATGTGTGAACCCCATGAAGGCTGAGAAGAGAAACTCTGACTTCCCCACAGAAAATTGTAAACTGCGGTTTCTTACTGGCTAGCAACACCTTTGATTGAATTTGTATGAAAACTCAATTTACTTATTAAAATGGACGTTATTGTTCAAATATTAGAAACTCCATTTCTTATATGTTCTAAGCTGTACAATTGTCAGATTTTTATGGTTTAGATTGTAAATGTGTTTTTCTCTGGCTAATTATTGGTATTATTTTTTTAATTTTGATGTCTTAAAAGCCAATGTACTGTATCATAATAATATGAAGGACATATTTAACAGGTGTGGGAAACACTGTATACAAATGTATATTTCTAAAAGCTATTTTTATGATTAGCATGTTTTAATGTTTTACCATATTTAGAGTCAGGTGATACTGCACTTCTTTGTTTACAGCTTAATTCAAACAAGATCACAATTAAATACATTGTATGGTGTTTTCCATTATTTTATTTATTATATTTGTCATTGGAAATAATTATGTTTACTAATAGGGATAGCTGCTAAAAAGTGAAAATGTCAAAATAAGAGAGCAATCCTTGATAAAGTGTAAATTGGATCCTCCTGCAAATCCTTTTCTTCAGATAAGCACTCTCTGTGATGCCATTCATCAGACAGTTGTTACAGCTGTTCCTGCAAGTCTCTAAAGGCAGTTTGTTGTTACCATATGGAAAGTTTATGACAGCCAGTCTCCTGTCAAGTCAGGTAAATTACTTATAGACTCACAATATCTGATGACCTGAGTTAGCCTATTGATTATTTTTTGGTTGATTTTCTGGCAGTAGTCTTTCCACTCCTGAACCCCTAAAGCCTTCCTAAAAGCCTGCAGTTCGAATAATTAATTATTACAGATGTTGTAGGGGGAATCTCCAGTATAGAATTTCTTAATAAATCCTATTTCCTTTCAAACAGAATGGATGCATTATTTCTCTTGTGTTACTGAGATATTAAGGGTATCAAAGTATATGTGATATAGGCACAAGGTTGTCTTCTCTAATGAAAGTACTAACTTGTTCACCATCCCATAGGCAGACCTCCTTAGTGCTGCAGATGACATGAAACAAGGAACAGATATTTATTTATCTACATCTCTATGTGAAATATACTCCTATTGAAAGAGACATGTCTTTAAAGTGATTGCAGGGAAAAAAATTATTTAATAACTATGGCCTTCTAAGCGGGAGAGATGTTAATTTAAGAAGTACCTTATACAGTCAAATGGAGCCCAGAGACAGCTGTCTGCCAGTCTCCAGCACAGAGCTCTGATGTCCAGATACCCGTGGCCATAGGTATTTGGTATCACCCAGCACCACAAAGACGAACCCTTGTCTTGCCCTTTCAATCACTCTGTGGGCTGAAAGCAAGATAAAAATAAAGGTACTAGAGAGACTCTTTAACAGATCAAACTTTAAATTTCTATAAAGAACAGTTTCTGAGATGATAGGTTCACCTCAAACAGTGGGGGTATGAGGAGGTGGGAGCTCAAGGTCTCCAGTCAGGTTTCCAGCATGGGGATCGTCATCAAAGAAGGACTGTTATTCTTCAAACATTTGGAAGAAGAGCATACATTTGAATTTAATTATCTATTACTGAGTGGGAATTTACTTCACTAGGAAACTATGTAACATAGCACTCTCAGTTATGTTTGTGTATCTTATATTTAGCTTGTCTATTGTCTGTGAAGTTACATGGTTTACCTAAGTGCTGAGTAGTACCTAGCTACTTAATTAAGGAAAAGATAGTATAAGTAGTTATGCCTGAGCATAAAGAATTGCAGCTTCAGAATCCACCAAGGCTGACTCTCCCAGAAAAGTGCAGCAAAAAAAATTATTTCTGTGTAAGTGAAATGTTAGGTCAAATCAAAGGGTGAAATATTTCTTCACTTTCTATATACTAGTATACGTTATGATCTTTTTTAACTGTAAAAATGCAAAAAGGATTGCCATTTTGGGATCTCCATCTTTGGCTGACAGTTAAAAAAAAAGAACTCCAAACCTTAGCAGCTCAACGTGCATTTTGCCCATTTCAATTATGTAAACTCTTGGCTGACTTAAAAGATGCAGAATGTCATCCAAGGAGATCAGTTCTGATGTTGGTGTTAATAAACCACGTATGAGAAACAGCTAGGTGTATCATCTCTTCACCACCTCCATTCCAAATGAGCTAATAATCACAGAAAGCACTCTATTAGATTTTTACAAATTCTTTTCCATCATTACCCTTAGATTATATATTCACAGAAATGACTGCACAGTCATAATGTCGACACTGTTTCACACCACAGTTTAAGTCCTGAATATATTTTGAACACAAAAAGACACCTCTGATAACGCCCTGGGGCACTACTTCATTTGCAAGCCAGAAGCTTGCTGTGTTGTGCAGTCAATTACTAGAAAGGTTTCTTAATGGCATGTTTGCTTCAAATCACTACAGAGGATGCTGGTAGCTTCAACAGAGTTTGATAGTTCTCTACTTTTCATGTACGCGGTATGCTCGATGTTGTTTGTCATCACTATCAATACTTGTTTTACAGGGGTTTTGCCAGTTGTCGGTTTTTTTGACATTACTCATCCCTTGCAATATGGAAGAGTAGGAAGCATAAAGGATCTTGTTAATCAGTTTGGATAGTCAACAGTCTTATGAAATCCTTTATGGACAGTCCTAAATTAAACCAATTCATTTTCTACACAGACCTATACGCTCTGTGTATTTCAGATATTTGTTTCAAACCTGTGCAGCTGCATGAATGGAAAATATTTACTAAAAAGCTTTAAAGTTTGGATCAAGAAAAAATGTTTTTACTTTTGTAAACTCTTGTATTACATATTGTTGCAGTTCTTATTAGTTTTCTCTGTAGATCCATTTTTAGTTCTGAAAAATCATTGTACTTAAACTATGTAGATAGCTACAATCTTGTAAGCAGTCATATTTTTAATAGGTGCCACTGCAAGCTAGAATTAAAACATTCAGGGTTTGGCCATGTAGAGCAGATTGATGGTTCATTACAGTTTTCTTTAAAATGTTGTAACATAATTTTTACATGTCTGTAAATAAATATTTTCTCTGATTTATGCACTAATTCAGTTTTGTAATTTCTTCTCTTAAAATGTGACTCTGAGAAACTTTCCATTAAAAATATATTTCTATCATGGAAAAACACCATTTAAAGTTCTGTAATACAACTTTGCTTCACAAACTTTCCAAGCAGAACAAACAGAAACAAGTATCCATAGCATGAAGTACTTAAGTAAGTAAGATGGAGGAAAATGTGGTAAATACTGCTATCATTTTAACAGTTTGAAAAATTTAAGGACCAGTCCTGTGTTAAGAAATGACTGAGAAGAACTCTGACAAAACAAAAACTGTGACAAACTTCCTAAAAAGGTTAAATTCTTCAGTGGGGTGAGAGAAAGAGAGAGGCCCAGTGGTGATATTTCATTGAATTTGAGAAATGCATTTTCTTAATCTTGGAAGCTTCTAAGTTTCACATATCACTAAAGTAGCATGACTCTAACTTACGAAAACCATGTCAATAACAGTTATAACTTTCTGTTTGGTATTCAAACACATTTTTTATTCATAGTTTATTATTCCACTCACAAGGTGTTGCTATATAGACAAGCTAAGGAAAATTGGTCCACAAAGTCTACAAGAATGTTTTTAAATTATATTGGAATTGTTAGGAAGCAAGACTATTTTGAAATGTGTGTGATTTATATATGGCACTTACTTTTCTACATTTTTAAAAGTGTTGTCCTTATGGTTACAGCTATGCCAGATTTTGCACAAGTTTGTGAACTTTATAAACAACTTACTCTTATTATGCATGCTACAGGGCCAATTCCTCATTCAGAAAGAACCCTGCTACAGATTAAATAGTAGCCGATTAAAAAAATTTCTAATTCCTTTTTAGTAGAGAAGGTAGCTTGAGAACTTCAAAAGTCTCCAGTTTCCATGTTCAGAAGAATCCTTATTAGTCTAGAAAATTTAAATAAGGAATACATCTGATTTGAGATAAAAGAGGATAATTAAGATAATTTCATTTCCTGAATTTGTCTTTCAAGATCTTATGTAATAAACATCATCAAAAAAAATCCCTTTGATAATCTTAAACTCTGTGTTGGATGATACTGGGCATGAGGGCAATTATTACTGAAATTAAGTCATCAATCAGCCAAGAATAAGCAGGGAGAGCATCCTTCAGTGTCAGATGTATAATACGTCAAACAATCTAACATTTTATGGGCAAAGGAGCAATACATTACAATGAATTTTGGAACAGAGAAGTACTTAACCCTTTGCATGATTAGTAATAAAGTATAGAGAATATAATCTATGCAAGTAAATTGTAGTCAGGATTATATTCCAGTATTTTTTTATTTGCTTATATGAAGATCCATTCTGAGCCTCATTCATTGCCATTAGGGACAAAGACAAATATTTTTGAGTTTTGAACCTGTTTGGAAAACGCCTATAAAAATAATGCAAAATTATTAGAGGAGTGGAGGAGTTTTCCACATAAGTAATGGAATTCCTAAGGACAGTTGGACACCCTAAACTAGGAGAAAAGATGTCTGTTTTGGCCAGGGTCTGACAATCGTAACAGTCAGTTAAGGAGAGATCTGACTATGGATAGTCTATTCCTAGAGAAAGGAGAGTCCAGCCAAGGCTATGAGTAAAGATGCAGGAAAGATTCTGTACACTAAGTAAAACCAGCAAAACTTGTCAAGTTAATACTGTAGCTCTGAGCATTTTTAACCAATGAAATGTTCCAGCTATGAGGATGAGAGAGAGAGAGAAAGTAAGGGCACCTGCGTATAGCATTTGCAACCTTATTCTGGCAATCCATGCCCTTGCAATGACGAGCTCTGGAAAACTGATAAGAAAACCCTTTGAGAAACTGCTTAGAAAAAACACTGAGTGCTATAGGAATTTAATAGTTATTGGGTTTTGGATGGTGGGGTTTGAGACTAATTTGAGATAAAAACAGCTTGATGTTTTTCATTGATACATATTTTGGGGTTGCTATAGTAAGTATTTGAT